TTTCTTGCCAACCAAACGCATGGCAGATTCCAATCCCTTTTATAAAAAAGAATCAATTTATTCAAAATCATAAAAAATGAAAACTTTATATTTTTTTTCACACACCTCGCCAAATGGGATCCTTGTGTTTTGCCTAACAAGAGCTCCAGCTGCAACCATGGCATTTTTTTCAACGTGGGTCCCATCAAGCAAGGTGGCACCCATACCCACAAAAGCTTCATCTTCAACAGTGCATCCATGTAATACAGCACCATGACCTACAAAACAAAAGGGTAAATTAGTAATTTACAAAAAAGACAAGAAAAGTAGGTTGCTATTATTTGCATACACACCTACAGTTACATTGTTTCCTATTGTTGTTGGGAGAACATTTCCACTAATGTTGGATTTGGCTACATGAACAAGAGCATTGTCTTGAATGTTTGTTCCAGATCCAATACTGATACTGTTCACATCACCTACAAATAGAGGGGTAAATTAGTAATTTTGAAAAAAGATAATTTGGTCAGAGTTTTGCTTACCTCTAAGAAAGTGAAAAACTCTAAAAGTTAAATCAAACACCACAAAAAAACCTTAACTTGATACTTCATACATTATGTAAAACAACAGATCACAGGACTTAAGCGAATTGAAACAGTATGAATAACTGAATATGAAGAAATTTAAATTTGGTTAGAGTTTTGCTTACCTCTAAGAACACATCCATACCAAATAGAGGAACCACGCCCTACTTGAACATCTCCGATTACAGAAGCACCAGGAGCAACAAATGCATCTTTGTCAACCACAGGGTCTTTATCAAACAGATTCATCAGTGTTCGATGCCTAGACACTAAAGAGAGATTCAAGATAAGTTCTAAACACAATTCGAAGAACAGAAAAGGTTCGACGTATCAGTCTACTCTTGCATATGTTCATGATAGATCAAATTCATGTAACAAACAGTGAAACTTAGAACAAACATGATTCTCAAAAGAACGAATCTAAATTTGATGAAAAAATGCACATGAGGTTATTTCAATTTCAGCCCTAAATTGTTTGTGTTCTCTTTGGCATTACAACAAACACATGGAAAGCAATATAAAAAGAGCGATGTTAGGGAAAATGGGTTTCGGAATTAGAGTGAAATAAGGATTGGGTTGGGGGGAGGTTTACCTTGTTCTTCGAAGAGGTGACTGCCTTGGAGGCTGCAGCCGACACGATCAACTGTTTGGCCAGCTACACGGATCCAGGATCCAACGACGTAGATTGCTCTTCCTAAAGTCCCCATTATTTATCAACGCAAGAACCCTATTTTCTGAGCTGGGTATGCTGATTCTCCGATCGAGAGGCGTTTCTTATGCTCTGCGGTCTTGAGGAGAAGGGAGTGTGTTGAGCAACAGATTGGGGAAAAAAGGGGAAAATGAAATGAGTTTAAGATGAGTTGGCCCGAGTTGAACTGAGTTGGTTCAAGAAAGGGTTACGATTCAGTGCGACCGAGTTCCTTTTTTTTTTTTTTGTCCACCAACTATATACTATCATTTCAAGATTATAGAAAATTGTTAAAATGGATAAACGGTTATTATTTATGTTTATCTCCGTAATACCTTTGTTTTGATATATTATACGTCCAAAAACGAAATTAAGATAAATGAAAAATTAATCATTAACGTGAGATGAATGGATAAATTGGGAAAACATGTTAAAGTGAGTTTTCAACCATCCGGAGGGAGAAGGAAAAAAGAAGTGGGTATATATTATAAACTTACTTTATAAGTATAAAGGTTTCTAAGCCTTGTAAAACTTATATAACCAATGTTTTCTCTTTCATGCACATGAGGGTACGAATACCAACCGAAAATGATATCAGTTCACTAAATTTGTGTGCATGCATGTGTGTCATATGTTGGGTTGTAGACCAAGCGGGGGTTAAGGGGGAGCCGCCTCTTTTGGGAGTCGGGGCAATGCTGTAACATCCCGACTCCCATGTATACTATTTAATTACTTATATGCATTTTCTCAGGGCAGCTCGACGAGTTGGAGGCCCCAACTCGCCGAGTAGAGAGTTAATGGCCACGTGATTTTTAGAGTCTACTCGACGAGTTGGAGGACCCAACTCGACGAGTAGGTGCTGAGTAAGAAAACCCTAATTTTTCGGGTTTGTGTCTTATTTAAAGGACCTTAAGCCTTCATTTCCGCCTCCCTTATCACCCTAACACTCTATGAGAAACCCTAATCAAGCTTCATTCGTTGTGTGTGTGTGTGTGTGTGTGTGAGAGAGAGAGAGAGAGACTAATTTTGGGTATTCTAGTGCACTTTTGTAAGGAGGTTGGAGAGTAATAAGACTTGGAACGAGAAGGGACTTTTGGATCTAGTGTTCTTCAGTGTTAGCTTCTGTTTGGAGGTAAAAAGCTACCACTTTGACCATTTCTTTTGTTAGATCTCTTTCTAGGGAGTTTCAGGGCCTTCTTCCATCCATCTTTTGGGTTTGGAGTTGTTTGAGCTTGCCATGGAGTTGAGACTCCAGATCTGAACAATATGAGGTCCCATGAGCCCAAAGATCCAAGCTTTATCAAGCTATTGGCAAGCTTCCATGCATTAAACCCTCTATAGAGCTTGTTTTGGCATTTTGAGCCCTAGATGCCATGCATGGACGTAAAGCTTGCAGTTTTACGTGATATTTCAGCCTTAGAAGGCTAGATCTAGAGTATGAGACCTTAGTTCTGCTTAAATTTGTCTGAATGAGAAAATGGATTGAAGGGACTCGACGATTTTGAGCTTGCCAAGACTTATTCTCCCAACCTTCCTTTGCATTTGGTGTTTGTAACACATTAGAGGCATCACACTTGAGGTGCTCAAGCTTTCTAAGGCCAAGAACTACCAACTACATAAGAGGTATTCATCTAACTTGTTTTGTTGTATATTCTCTATTGTATGCTAGTTAGGATGTATGCTTTGGAAAATGAAAATGCATGTATAATTTAGAGAAAACATAGTTCCAAAGCATCTAGGGTTGCATGTGCACCATATGAGTGTTATAGTGCTCAAAACCCAACAGTTATAACTCAGCGAGTTGAGTAGACAACTCGACGAGTTGAGTTGGATTTTCACGATACTTCTGAGAAAACAAAGGAACTCGACGAGTCGCATAAATGCACTCGACGAGTTGGGTCAACATAGACCGTTGACTCGAGTGTTGACTTTCGTTGACTTTTAGGGTTTGGTCAAGACATGAGTTATGAAGACCATGGAGGGGTAAAATGATCTTTCACCCTTTCCGAGAGGTAGAAAAGGGGTAGCCTAATATTTTAGGGTTGTTATTATTAAGTGTTAATTAGAGATGATTATGATATGTAGACGGAGTCTAGACCGATCATCGAGTGCGAGATCTACTTGCTTACTTACGAGGTGAGTCTTCTCACTATACTTACCTGAGTGGTAATACTGTATGACCGGAGGGTCTTATATGCTTATTCTAAGTTATGTGATATCATGCGTTTGTCTTTGTGATATATGTTGGATATTATTATTTGCTTTATTGGTTAGGACCGAAGGGTCCAACCCGAGTTGTGAGACCGGGTGGTCCTCACTGGAACACATGGGTCGGAGGGTCCTTATCGAGATATAGCCATAAGAGGCTAATTACTTGCGTGTGGTATTTTGGGGAACTCACTAAGCTTCATGCTTACAGTGTTGTGTGATATGTGTTTCAGGTACTTCTCAGGATCGCGAGAAGGCGCCGACTTGATTGTACACACCTGTTAGAGATTATGTTTTTGGATTCTGGGATATTATCAAACATTTTGTGGTATTGTGTTTTAAATAATTTATACAATTAGGTTTTGAGAAATGTGATATTGGGTTTTATGTGGTTTTAAAAATGAAAAAAAAATGTTTTAAAATTTAGAGTGTTACAAATGCCCCAGAAAGTGTGATAAAGGACGAATTACACCCTTTGTTGATGGTTTCAGTTGTTTCAAATTCTTTGAATAGACTCAAGAAATTGACTTTGAAAATGCTCCAAAAAATATCTTAAAACTTGAAGATGAAACCGTTTGGGCTCATGGCCTTTTCACCTCCATAGTTCTAGACAACAACTTTTGTTTCTGATTGTGTGAAGGGTGCCACGAGATAGTCGCAATAAATAGTGGAAAGAGATTTGAACTAATTGTTGGCAAGCATCAATCAATGCTCCAAATTCCATCTATAGCAAGGCCATTTTGCCTTCCTCTAGAGATGTAATATTTAAATCATGGAAGAACAAAAAATTTTACATACATTTTTCCTTTTTTCACATTCGAAACAACTTATTGATGTATCTTTTTGTTCATTGAGATGTATGTTACGTCCCGATTTTTCAACCCAAAATTTTATTTTTATTTATTCAAAACATTCAATTACATCAGAGTATAATGCGGAAGACATGAATTGCGAATGCGCATGAGTACAGTCGAACCTTGCCCTTCTTAAGAACCAATGAAGTGCCTGAAAAACATTTATAACAACTGGGTCAGGGCGTTAGGCTTAGTGAGTTCCCCCAATATACCATATACCACAATACACATATATGCATACAAATAATTTGCGTATCTTAGACTTACGGTCTGTATTCCATTTCGTCTTCAACACGGGTCTACGTGTACTTACGGCCTACACGCCGTTTTGTTAACACGTGTCAATGTGTACTTACGGCCTACATGTCATTTCGTTAACATGTGGGCCTATAGGATTTCGACCTCCTTGTCGTTCCGCCATCATCCCCTAATTAATTTGCAATAACTTTAAGCATATCAACAATCATGCACATAGATATTACCTATTCGACTCTACTTGCACACATAAAACTATAGTATGGGCTCTACACTACTGTAGTGGTTCGTATATCCTAACATACACAGATATATACTGGAATACATAATTAGTCAGATGAACTCACCTGGACATTTACTCAGACGATTGACAGTAATCTGGGCGATCCGATTGGTGATCCAATAGAGGGGTAACACATCTAATGAGTATTAATCTATAATACAGTAACTTATTAATTCTTACGACGATTTGGTAAAGAAATCCATATCTTTCACTAATCCCAATGAATACCGAGAATTCCATCAAATAAGGATCATCCAGGCAGGACAGTTGGGAGGCAGAACCATTTCGGCATATTGCATTTCTAAAATCCAACAACCAAGCTAACATGACCATTCTAAACATCTCTCCCATAAGTAGATCAATCAGTATTATGACTTGGAATTAAGGATTAATCTAACATTGATAGGTTCTTAATAACGATTATATCTACCAAAATAAGCTATCCTACAATCTTAGTAAGTGTAGCTACACTTATAGAGAGTTCTAGTGAAAAAGTCGAAAGTCGCGGGCACGACCCCGATACTGAGCACTTCTTTCTGTCGGGCTTCTAGCTACTATAGAGGCTCGCTAATAGGTTCTAAAACTTAGAAATAAAGGACTCGATGTTAGAGAGGTCTCTAGAGAGTTTCTGGGGTGAAGAAGGGATGAGAAAACAAATGAAACGAAAGGGATCTATTTATAGTCGAAGCGTGCGCCGCGCACAGACAGGATGCGCATCGCGCACGAACTAGGTCGTCAAGGATCCCTTCAGATCATGCCCCCATGTCGACTTTTGGGTAGTGCTACGTGGCCCCTTCTAGAAGGCGTGCGCGTCGCACCTCTTGCGCGTATGTGCGAATTTCCAAATCTTCAAAACTTCGTATCTTCTTTATATGAACTCCGTTTTCGACGTTCTTTATATCCACACGTAGCTATCAACGAGATCTACAAATTTCATTTAGACTCTGTCTACTAATTTTGACTTTGTTTTTAAAGTTATATTTTTAACAGACTTATATTGTTAAATCCCGCATAAAAATCATAACTCACTCATATGAATTATGTTCTCGACTGCCTTTATATCGACGAAACCATATGGACGGGATCTTCGAATCTCATTTAGATTGTTTTTCCTAACAATTGACCGATTTCTATTCGGTTTCTGTGTGGTATACTATTGCGCTGAAACTTCTAAAAATCATAACTTCCTCTTATGAAGTCAGATTTGGACGTTCTCTATACGCACACTCTCGTTTTTGTGATTACTATGAATTTCGTTAGGTATATTTATCCTAAATATTATTCTATCAAAAACGTCTATTTCCGTGACATGTGGATTATACTGTAAGACGAAAATGGGGTGTTACAATGTATTTATTCTTTTTCATTTTAGGTGGAATGCATGAGTTTATAAACGTTATTAGAAGTTGAGAACATGGAATTGGCATCTACTAATACCACATAATGAAGGTTCTCATTTAGTAGCCAACTATTATAAAACCTAAAAATAGAGGATCAAAACTCACATTCGACCTAAGGATGAGAGGACAATGATAGGAGAACTTGTATGGGAAAGAAGAAAGATAGGCATTT